TCATCCAACCTAACCACAATAGTTATCAAAATTGTACGATTCGTGATTTGATTCGTACGATTCAGTTTGATACAAACACAAAATGATTCGTATCTTATATGAGAATCATTTTTAGAATTGAATCGTATCTGAATCTTACGATTCGATTTGTATCGTACGAATTATACGATTTAGTCACTTTTTTAAAATTTATATTTTTTATAAAACGACGTCATTTTGTTCGTTAAATAGTAAAACGACGTCTTTTTGTTTGCAAAGGAACTCACACCCTAATAAAACCTCAGCCTTTTTTGTTTGAGCTCGCCTCGTGTTGTTTGAAGTTGAAGGTCACGGCTAAAGCTCCTGTTCTTCTTCTTTTTCTTAACAGTAACCAAGTCCTGCCATGTCCTTTGTTTTTTTTTTTTTTTTTATATATTAGATTTTTCTATCTCCTGTCACCATATTTTAGAATAAATTTTGATTTTTGCCCTCAATTCTTTCCTGGATAATTTGTTAGGTTCTAATTTTTTTGTTTCAAAATTTTGGCCTGTATGTTTCTCCCAATCAATTTTCTTATTTGTTCTTTTTACATTCATGTTTTCAACATAATCTGTACTGGGTGTCACTATTTTGGTTTTTGAATAGTTATGGTTCTTTAATGAATTTTTTTTGTTAAGTTGTTGAATTTGAAAATAGTTAGGTAAAAGATGAAAATAAAGCAAAAGACTAGTATTTCTCCATTTAGACGACGTGATTATGTCAATTGATAATTTTTAGAATACAATAATATTCAATATATTACATATTTTAAATATATAAAATTATTTTTTATTTTTGTTCAAACTTTGTGTTGAATCTTACGATTCACGATTCGATACGATTTACGATTCTCAAATTTAGGATTCTGATTCATGATACGAATCGCGATTTTACAACTAACCATAACCACCACTCCTACTATGCTTACAACTTACCATCTTTATGCCACCATCTTATCACCACCATTATGGTGGTTGGGTTAAGGTAGTATTGGTTAAATTGATGGTGATGGTGATAAGGAAAAACTAGTGTGACGATATAATAATTGGTGGTAGTGAGATAGGGTAGTGGTGGTGGCAGTAGGTGAGTTGTTGTGGTGGAATATTGTGGTAAGGCGAAGTGATGATGGTGGTAGGTAGGCATATTGAAGGCAATAATGGTGGTGAGGGAGGGTGATGGGGTACTACTAGTTATGGTGGAATGGTAGTGATTTTGGGAATGGAGGTGGGTGGTGGTGGTGACGCTAGTAATGGCAATGATGGGGGTTTGAGGTGCTGGTAGTAGCAACGATGACAATGGTAGGGGTGGTCGTAGGGTAGTAGTAGTAGTGGGGGTCGTGGTAGCGGTCATAGTGATTGTGATGGTGGTAGTGGTAGCGATGATGGGGTGGGGATGGAGGTGACGATGGCAGTAGGATGGTGGTTATTGGAAAGTTGGAGTGTAAAATGGATTTAGATTAAATTACTTGATGGCAAACTTGTCCATGATGAGAAGTTTATAAAATCCCAGTTAACTAGCATTTTCAGCACTAAGTGGTAAGTGGGTGGCTTGCTAAAGATTTTAGCCTATTTTTACAAGATATTTAATGTGAATTTTAGTTATTAAAAGCACTTAACTACAAAAGTGCAGAATATTTTCAGTTTTAAGTGTTAAATTAAGTTCTAGTTATGAAAGACCACCAAAGTCATTGATCTATTATGCATGGAAGAAATGTTTTGAATGATAAGAGATTCTGATTTCATAGATGCTTAACTCTTTGCGTCTTGATCATAGTTACCGGAATTCATTAAACTCCTGACAACTAACGATCTGAGTACATCAATTCCAAATTTGGTGGATTCGCGATCTAGATTACCAAAATGTATGATCCTAAACTATAATACTAACCCTTAATCGATTTACTTTGGAATATGTTGTATAAATATAAAATACATATTAATCGATTACGTGTTTATAGATTTATAATTATATATTGTTTTAAATAATAGAAAATCGAGTAGAAATGTAAAATAAATGGTAACTGACTTAGTGTTTATGAATGTTGAGTTTTAAAATGAATTGCGACAAAAAATATCGTATCAACTAAACCTACTCCCATCATATTGCGTATCTAAAAAACTGTCGTACCACGTACTGCAACGACCCACAATCGTAAAATTAGTCTTGACCTGGGTTATCACAATAAAAGAGACATACTACCTTAAGTGTTTTTTTGGTCTGATTACCTTTTAAGTGTTGATGTCATGTATTTCTTGGTGTTGAGGAAGATGACAGACTAAAAAAACAGTGAAGTGACATGAGGAACGATGAGCTGATTGTCCCAAATTCAAGTCTCTCTGCACAGGGAAACAATTCCAAACAGGAAAGTTCTGTCTGTTGCAAACCCCATTGCCAGGCATTATCTGAAACTCCCTCAAAGCAACATGATTCATCCTTGGAGAGATTGTTTCTTTGACCATAAAATGGCATACACTGGATTGCATAAATAAGTGGAGTTTGTTTTACCTAGTCAGCGGGAGCTTTGGGGATGGGAAATTTTTAAAGTATGGCAGCAAAGCAGGGACTCCTGGGTTATAGGTTTTGCATGATGTCTGAAGGCAGCAGGGTGTCAGCAGATTTCATTGGTTACCAAGATGATCAGTACAACATTCTTTGCTTACCTCATGTCAAATTTCTAGGCTCTCATGTAAAGTTGCTTCGATGCTGATGATATGCTGAACTTTCTTGCAGGTTTTAACTATACACAGACATTGCTATGTTCAGTTTAATTTTGTTGATTTGATTGTGTTTTGCAATGTTTTCGATCTGTCGTTGGATACATATTTGGCTGCAGAGGAACTGCATGCAGTGGTAGAAACAGAAGCAGGTGCCATACAACTAAGAACTAAGAAGGCCAGGTAATGTATCCAAGACTTACGATTTGAGGTGTTAATGTCCTTGTAAGATTAATGATTTCTTAAAATAATCTTACAATTATTTCAATGTCTTCACTCTTTTCTGGATATGATTCTCTTTTTCTTCTTCTGATTTATTTAATTAAGATAAACATCTGAAGAACATTGCTCATATGGACATCTTGTGCAGAAATTAGTTGGCTACTTCCTCTCTTTTTTTGCTCACTTTAGACTGATTCTTTTTAACAGACTTTAAAACAAATTGACTAACATCACTTTGTTACAGTGACCTCTTAAACACAATCCATAGTAGGCTTCAGGTGCAGAAAGTGTCTTCCATTTAAGTACCACATTCCCCAGAAGTCTGGCCCTGTTCTATAGAGATTGAACTTGCACGCCTTAGGGCTTAATACATAAAGAAGAGTAATGATATACAGCAAAGGATTCAAACCACAGTACCTCTCAAAGTTGGAAAGCACATGTACACCACTTCAAGTGTAAAAACAAACCAAGTGCCAAAAGGAAAATTTTTTTGTTGTTCTACATCGAGTAATGTATGGATGCCTGTCTCTTTGAGAGTTGTCTCAATGCCTCTGAAAATAATTCAACATACAAAATATTTTACGTTCTGTACTCCCCTTTTCTTTGTGTTTTAGTTTTTTTTTTTTTTTTTGGGGGGGGGGGGGCATTGAATAGTGAATAGGACACTTCCAAGATTTTAGTGTTAATCGAATTACACGTATTACTCTTTTTATTCTTTTATCCCAGATGACTAATGACAATATGACATACGATCTCTGTTCAGTTTCAACTAATAATGAGGTTTTTTTTTGGTGATATTGGAGCTAACTAATTTCATTTATGCATTATGTCAAAGAGTTAGCAGGCATAGAAAAAAGGATTCATATCGAAATGAGCTTTTCTCACATTCAACAGTAATATGCATTTAAGAAAAAAAACAGTAATATAAACATTAGGAAGCTATTGGTTCATCAGTTTATAGCATGACAGAAGAAATTAAGTCAACCACAAGAACACCAAGATTTATAAGAATCACACATGGTTTTCAGTTGGTTCACCACTAACCACAAACCCTTTCACTAACACGTCATCTTAAATGTCACAGCTTCACTTTAAAGCCTGTGACACAAGTCCTAAGCTATGTAGTGTGTGAGATGTGAGCAGATAAATGTATTTTTAACCTCTAGAACTAGCACTTACAGAGGGAGTACATATAGACTTGGCTTGTCCATTGGACCAAATGTTGGATCTGGATACATTTTCTCACAAAACACTTAAAAGGTTCATGGTGTTATGTTCCAAAACTTGAACTGATGGGGATGTGGATATTTTTAGACTGAGTTTTATAACGGGTAGATTCTCTCGGCTTTAATTTGAAATGTGAAATGCAGTCACCTAGAATGCTCTTCCTTTATCTCATATCTGCTGCACTTGGAGTCCACTATGTGTGAACTAGTCCAGTGTGTATGAATCCTCTTACCCTAGGAGTTCTATGTTTGCCTAGACTAGACCTTTGGGAAGATATTCAAGCTTGCTGAGATCTTCCATGTAGTTTCATCCAACAATACTTAGAGCAGTAAAATCTTAAAATGCTCAATTCTAAAACTAAGAAGGTTTTTTCCTATTGGAATAAATGGATTCTGTGAGGTTTTCTAATTATGATTACATAATATATAGATGTCTTAATGATATCTTCACTATTTGATCTCAGCTGAACCATAATATTGAGAATAAGATGTCTCTAGATCACCATAGACATGAACATGAGATCACTTCTTCACTCTTTCAAATTTGCCAAATGTCAATGATATTTATCTAAAAGATTGGTATATGATACTAATAATATATATACTATATAATAGCCAACAAACAATATAGAGATAGTTTTATACTTTTTTTCCCAAAATATTGACTAGTAATACCATATTAGAAAAAGACCTTATATCTAACATGGTTTGACTAAGCCTTGCCAATATTGTGTTGGGGGAGGGAGAGACACCAAACCAATGATCATTACAGGTTGAATTGAAAACATAAAACTCCAAATTATTCACTAATTTCACTAATCATACATTAAAATGTTTTTTTTGCTTAGCTATAAAAATCCCTGAATACTACTCATAGAAGTTCTATCAAAGCAAGGAGGATATATAATTATTACGTCATCCACACTTGTGACTTGAAATTTAAATAGGTGCAGTGATCGCATGCCCATTACCAACTGTGTGAACTATCCAGGTTGTGATGCTGATGGCATGTTTGACAGATGGTCTAAGACCTGAAGTTCAAATAAAGTTCACTGATCACATGCCCAACTGCCTATATCATTGGTGGTGCTTTGCCTTTTGATCTTGTGGTTTGCTGCAAGCTCCTTGAGAATCCACATCAGAAAGACCATTCTCGAATGCCCTAACCAAGTTCTCAAAGAAATTTCGGGTCACCGATGTCAGTCCAGCTAGCTTTTTGCGGAAATTGTTAAAGTCATCAGAAGGGCCTTCAGCATCAAGGAAAGGTTGTAGTTCCTTCTCTGCGCATTGATGAAGCCTTTCTAAGCCAGCCTCCGCATCGCCTTGCAAGTACTCAAATAACTGCCTTTTGGCATGTTCATGCTCAGGTATGTAGTATCCATATGCGTAGCTCCATGATAGAACCCGCCTACATTCAACTATCTGTAACCAGGCTTCTATGAGGAATTTCAATTCAGCTCTACTTTGAGCCTGTTTTATACCAAGTTTGTCAATATGCAGAGTTTGCGTCAGATGTAAATCTGCTAGAGCTTTCTGCCTTGACGATTTGTTGGTTGCCCAGCGTTCATAATAATGAGTATATCTCTGTATATAATTCTTTGCCTTCATTCTCGTTGCAGCTTCATCATCATCTCCCTTGTTTTCCCTATACTGATTACATGAAGCCTGACAGGTTGGATATTTCCGAAGGCATACCCAGCAAAATTCAAAGCCACAAGGTGCCCTGCATGTCATGTGCATACAACCATGATTTTTCTCAATTGGTCTCTTGCACTTCGGACAAGGCTTAGTAAAAGCCAGGATCCAGTTGGTGTTTTCAGCTTCAGAATTGTTCTTTGCTATCCACTTGGCCACAGTATCACAGTCCAGCGGGCGATGGGCTTCCTCTATGCAATTCCAACAAAAGCTGTAGGAGCAGAGGCATGAAACGTCGTAGTTTCCACTTCCAAGATCATATTCAACGGCATAGTCACATCCCGGGCCAGGACACCACTTGATCTTTCTGCTGCCTTCAACATAAGATCGAAGAAGATACCTAGAATACTTCCTCTTGTCTTCATCAGAAACCATCATATCAATCATATCTTGCCCCACAGCAGCACACACGATGGGTCGGGACATTTCAGCATCAAGCAACCAGGGCCATCACCAATGGATGTACTGATGTACGTTCCCCAGCATGTACTGCAAAAAAGGTGCCCACAACCTGCATTTTTCATCAAATCAGCGGGACGCTTCTCTAAACAGATCCCACAGGTCAGTTTTCTCTTGCTCCGAAATCGAAAAATCGGGTTTTTCAACAAACCAACAGCTTCGCGGACGCCATCTTCATCAGCAAACCATGCCTCGTGCACGGCACTCACACTCCAGTTATAGTGACGCAATAGTATGGATGAAGCTGTTCTTGTTACAGAAAGAACAAGAGAAATACTTACAATATCATCATCTTGACGCTGGCGTATATCGTCTTCGTTCAGGACTTTATAGGGTTGCTGATCGCAACTGGCCGAGTTGTCATCGGTGTCGTAATTGTCGGTGTCGTCACCGCAGCCGCCGATGTTGTTGCCGTTGGAGTCATCGCTGAGAGATTTGGCGTCGATCACAGGGAACATATCATCCTCCGAATCCATGGAAAAATACTAAAAAGAAAGATGACTCTGGACTCTGTGGCCGGATAGGTAATAGCCAAACCAAAGCCGGCAACAAAAATAATTGTATAGGAAGACCTTAGTATATAGAAGGAGACTTATAAGCGAAGCGATTGTAAAAAACAAAACCCTTGATTGACAAAAACTCGGTATATTAGGGATTCGATTGATAAAAGAGTTAATCCGTTATGAACTCGGATCAAGAGACTTTCATGGGTTTGTAAGATCTCTTAAAAATTAAGAGATGCCACGTGGAAGTCATCAACAGCAACATTAAAACAATTTGGGAATGGGGAATACCCAAAACTTATCGGATAGGAATTTTGATTGGGAATGGGATTTTTATTTTTAAATTCTGGATTATCAGTAGTTCAAGTTGTGAATCTATACTATATACTAAAAATAAGCAATTAGAGAGAGTCTTTGAGTCTTCTCTCCTCAATTTTTTTTTTAATTTTGAATTATTTAATTGCCATCCTTCAATTGGATTTTGACATGTGGCCTATGTAATCGCTTCAAACTTTTTGACAATATGACATATTTTAATTTACCTCCACCTATATCATCTACTTTACATTTAAATTTTTATAAATTATTTATTCAATATATTAGTAACGAATTTTTTAATAATGTTAGAACGAGGTGGAGGTAAAGGTCGTCATGGAGGAGGGAGGTGGGAATAGGTGTGGTGATGGTGATGAAATGATATTACAAATTTCGTTGATCATACAGAACTGTTATTAGTAAGATTACTATTGTAATCAAATTTTCAGACATGGTGGATTCTCTAAACCATGACTAATGTTAGTAATCTCATATCTATATTACTTAGGTATTTAAAAAGAAGGACAAAATCTCAATATTAAAAATTTTGTCCCCTTTAAACATCTCTCCCTCAAAACTAATAATTCATCTTTACTAATTCTGAGGTTATTGCTAACTATTTTTTGTATTTATGGAAGCCAAGCGATACGATAATATTTTTTATTTAAAATGGAAAAACATAATTTGGACTTTTATTAGGGGATCAAATCTCAACTGTAATTGTTAGATTGAAAATGAAATTTATTTAATATTAACATTTACAGTTAGATTAATGATAACATTAAATTAAGTCTATAATTAAATTCTTATAACATTGTTGTTTAAAGTATGGTTCAAAAGCTTTTCTGGGCTATGTACCATCATAATTCTATCAATCACTTGGGTAGAAGGCAATATCTTTTACATAGATCACCCTAGGCTATCCTCCTAAATTGATTTCACTCAATGTGTTCAACCAATATTCAATGACTTTCAAACTAAACTCTGTCACTGTAGGTTAGGTTAACATATGAATAGAAAAGGAGAGCCTGATGACTCGGAGAATCCAAAGGAGAATATAAATGTAAGTATTAAAGTCAATTAGTGGTACAGATCCGAGACAGACATGTAAAAAAAAGTATAATTTAACCTTAAAATATTTTACTCTTTTAATATAATAATCACTTTCGGTATTGTAGTCGTTTCCAGCTCCGCCCAAGATCCTTCACTGTACAAAGTTTGTTTGGGGTATTAAAAGATGAGATTTGACTAAATTAATCTTTTTCGTCATTTAATATCAAGTTATAAGTCCCGATATTTTAGTACTGATCGAATGCTAAAGTGTCATATAACACACTTGATATAAATCAATGTCATATAATAGGTATTTTTTTTTTTGCAACGTATCTAGACTTGCATTGTCCCTCGAACTGGAACCTGGCCCCAAAGATCCAAACTGTTTTAAACCACAGGGGTTGATATAATAAGTGATATTAAATGAAAATGATTGGTATTAACCTCCAAAATGAGAAGACTATTCTTATAGCTAAAGGATTATGTATTAATTTAAGGGTTTTTTTTTATCCTTTTGAACTTAATACCTCATCTAAATATGATATTAATATTAGAATAATGAACCCACATCTTATACTAACTTTGATCCAAACATGATATAATGTAGATAGAATAAAATGAGGGTAATATTATTACTAATAAGGATTGGAACGGAATGAATTGTTCAATCCTATCTTGTATTATTCCCAAACCAAACATGTGTTTAAACCATGGAAAACCATGATATTTTGTGTTGTTTCTGAGTATTTTTTTCAAAAAGAAAAAAAAATATTGAAAATCTTTGCCAAGTATTAATAATTCTGAGTTGAACTAGAAACGAATTTTGATTGATACACATAAATTCCATCCTAAAACACTAATAACTAGAAGAGTAATATAATTTATACTAAATTTGTTGACTTAATTTATTAAAACTAATAATTTAGGTGTCAATAGATTTGTACTAAATTAATAAATTAGGTGTTAATGGATTATTATAAGTAGGAAAGATAACATGCTTAACTAAGATTGGTAAGTTTGTGAGGGATGGCAATCTTGACACGAGCAAGTCATGACATCAGTTATGGCTCCTCACTGTTCCAATGAACTGCAGAGACAGCTAAAAAGAGGCAAAGCCAGTTTGGAGTTGGATTTTTTGGCTGCGAGACAAGAGGTTTAAAAAATAAAATAAAAAAGTCAGACTTCAAAAAATTCTTAAAATCGTTTAGAATTTTTTTAAAAAATCGATTTTTACTTGAAAGTCCTAAACTCCTTGGTTCTTTTTTTTTTTTGTTGGTTTTTCCTTAATATTAATAAAAGTTATTTTTGTCCAAAATATTAATGAAAAAACCACCCAAATGCCCAATAAGTCCAAATCCAAATTCAAAGGAATCAAACTTTTTTACCTATTGAATCAAAAAACACTAAAGTTTTCAGTCGGGTACAACTCAGGCCCATATTTTATAGCTATCAGAAGTATAATGACAAACCAAGATAATCCGGATCCATATAAAAGTGAAGACATATTTTGTAGTAAGGATCGTTTTTTTGTGTGTCTGGGGAAAGTACAAGTTCAAAAAAAGTCAGAAAAGGGAGGATTCAGTACTGAGCTGGATGGATCTCTGAAGAGCGATCTGATTCTCAGAGGATATATTGGAAGTGGAAAGGATTAGGATGAAGAAAGGTTAGAGATATAAAGAAGAAAGGGTCTTTCTCTCTCTCCTCTGTTTCTGCGTCTGCAATCGTATCCCAATGACCCAAAAAGATCACGAAATATCTGTGACCCGATATTATTACGATTTCTTACTCTTTCCCATTCTTCATAGTCATACACGAATGCATATGTGTGCTCTCTTTGTTCACTATATATTATAGCCCCCCCCCCCCCCAACTCTCTCTCTCTCTCCAAAACACAGTTCATAGTTGTACCTTTGGGTGGTGTGGTTTTGTCAGAAACTCAGAATACGTTTTGTTTTTGTGTCTGGTTTACCATAGGCAGTACTTTGGTTTCTTCTTCAAAGGATTTGTGGGTTGTTTGGTTATTGGGAGAGAAGAAAGAAAAATGGCTTCTTCTTCATCATCTTCAAAGGGTTTGGATGAAGAAGAGAGACCTCATGTTTTAGCTGTTGATGACAGTTTAGTGGACCGCAAATTGATTGAGAGGCTTCTCACCAACTGCGCATGCAAAGGTATTTAATTTCTCCTCTCAAGTCTCATCTTTTACCTTTCATAAATACATTCTTCTCCATCTTTATTTATTTATTTTCATTTGCTGTCTTCATGTTAATGCTAGTGTTTTAATGCTAACCCCACTACTCATATACTTGATGTGCTCTACATACATCTCTTCTTCTATATATAATTTTGTTGCCAAATGTGCCATGGTGAACAATCAATATAATAGAAAAAAAAAAAAAGAACAATGAAGAACAACGAATACGAGACTTAAGCGGCTTGATAGAAATTATACCTATTTCCACCGGTGCGGTTTTGCCTTATATGCGGATCCCAATGTGGTTATAACTTAATCTTGGTCAATCGCTTATTGGCCCATTATTTTTTTGGGCATAATGAATATGAACCATTTATTATTTTAAATCATTTTTGATATAATTATTGAATTATTAACTATAATTCTCGATGTTAACGTAAAATTATCTATGGATGGCGCATCGTTGTGGCAGTGACTACAGCAGAGAACGGGCAGAGAGCATTGGAGTTTCTGGGTTTGGGAGATGGACAACACACTGTTGACAACAGTGTAAGTGCTGATCCTTTCCTTGCAGCTCAGACCAAAATGAAAATCTATCAACCTCAGTGTTATTCTAAGATATGCAACTTTAATTTCTCATGTCATCCTGGCAACCACATGAATATCGTGTGTTTGTTTTAGCAATGTTTTAGAGACATAATTTGAATACTTAATTACGAACCTAATTTAATGTATTCATTTGATTAGTCGCGAATTCCAATGTTAAACAAAATTCACTTTCTTGCAGGACTTGAAGGTAAACTTGATAATTACCGACTACTGTATGCCAGGAATGACGGGATATGAGCTACTTAAAAAAGTTAAGGTAATTTAATTCTTAGATTCACTTCTACTGTCCCTTATTTTTCTTTGGCAACCATGGTTAATCAACAGTCTGAACTGATTGATGACTATTGCATTTGAAGAATATAATTATTCTTTGTTTTTTTTTTTCATTTTCTTTAACAGGAATCGTCTAACTTGAGAGAGATACCTGTAGTAATTGTGTCATCTGAAAACGTCCCAACCCGAATCAACAAGTAAATCACTCGCTTATATTATAAACTTCAATCTCTCTCTTATATGACGTTTATGAATAGAATGGTGATGTTGATCCATATTTATTTATGTTCTTCCTTTTTTCCCTACTTTTTTTTTTGGGGACTCAAATAGGTGTTTGGAAGAAGGAGCTCAAGAGTTCATGCTAAAACCTCTCAAGCAATCGGATGTTAAGAAACTGAGATATTACATGATGCGATTAGGCCAACCTTGTAATGGGATGCTTTGCATGGGAAGGTAAACGAAGCAAAACCCACAACACCACAGAAAGATACTGATCAGAAAAGCTGAAGGAGCAACAATGAAGACAAAGTGACCAGAAAGTTGTTCCATCAACATGTCAAACCTTTTTTTTTAAATCATCGGTAGGAATTAGGATTAACCCTTCATGAACATATCCTAATCGTTTGTTGACTGTGTTTTCATTTCTCTCTTTGCTAACATAATCCACCAATTGAGTCAATCTAATGCGTTGTTTGGTACGACAAAAAAATAGATAGATGAAAAATTAAAAAAATAAAAAGTTTGAAGAACAGATAAAACATCATATTTAATAAAAAAAAAAATTTAAAGGATACAAAAATTGATGAATTCGTTTTCCTTTTGACTCGTTAAAATCATCCCTTCCAAATTAGAAGGAAAAATGGGTGAAAATTTAATTATGTGTGTTGAAATGTATGTTATTTGCATATATATTGTTTAATATATACATATATTATATTTATCTAT